CATTTTAAAAGCTCGACCTAAGTTAAGTGACTTCCCTTGTCAGATTTCAGGAAAATCATACTGCACTTATAAATTTTCGAATCTGCTCTAAATATCGAAATTCTTTTATTTTGCTTTCAAAAACTGCTATCCTCAATATAAATTGATCTGTAAAGGCTGCTGCATGACGAAGGCGCAATGGCGATATTAGTTGAGCGTGCGCGAACGCGACGCGTATCCTCACCGTTGTAGATCCCGCACCTCATGCGCTCTGCGGCTAATACAGCCGCGTTCGCGCCCGAAGATATTGCGCCTTCGTCATGCAGCAGCCTATAAGTTAATCGAAATTGCGTGTGAACTAGTCGTAAGATGTGAGGTCAATCAAACAATCATGCCTGAAGTGTTCTAAATTGATTTCACACTTCAAAGTTTATCCAGGAGTCACTCGGTCATTCGTAGGTAAATCAGCAAATCTCTCGAATTTCACGCAACACATCAGCTGTGTTCATTGATTGCCAAAAAAAAGAACAAAAAATCAAAACAAGATTCTGTTAGTCAAGCTTCACCCCAGCTTGCAACAAGCTATATCTCACTATCAAAAGTTAATTTTACTCGACGGCATCGTCCGGGAAACTCGTCTGCCGCAGCAGGGCGGAGCTTCGAGCGAACACGTTATTGCCAGTTCATGAACCTCGCGCGCCACTGGTACCAGCTATCGTTCATCTTGACATATACCCTGGAAAACGTCAAAATGAATTAATTTGTTGATTGCGAAAATCATAACTTCTCACTGAGACGTCCAAACAGCAAACAACAAACTCTTCACAGTTGCAAAGAGTAGGTCAAAAAACACATGTACTAAAGATTTGAGATTTTTGCAGCTTTTCAGACTTTTGGTCACCTAACTTAAAATGGTCAAATCTTATATGGTCTTAGTTTTCCATTTTTATCTCCGCACCCAGTATGAAACAGAAGCTTCGCAAAACAGCGCTTGAAAGCGAAAGACTTTTTTCATCAAAATTACAAGCAAGCAAATCCGTTGAAATGTCGCGGAGTTACAAATTATGAAAATGAAACGACAGAACTTTCGGGCCAACCTAATATATTATATTAGGTAGGTGCAAAAGTCCGTTTGCCAGTTTTTCAGAAATTCGTGACTTCCTTTCTTCCCAAATTGTGGAAGCATTTTATTTGATAGGGAAAATTATGCTTTTTACTATGGTGCCTTTCCCATGAATCAAAATGACAAAGATCGACAGATGAAAACAAATAAAGAAAGTTACTTCAATTTTGCTATATTTGAGCTGCTCGAAAAAGCCCAAACACGCAAAACCCAAAGTCACAGAAAAACGTGAAGGTCATGAACATGGGTTTTCTGACTTTTTCTTTCTACTAAGTGAAAACCGCAACCGAGAGGAATTTTTTATTTAATATTAGGTCGTTCCGAAAGTAATGCCGCTTTTTTCAAACGTACGCCACATTTCGTGGAACAAAGATATGTAAGAAATTCTGGTAGCATTTGATGCAACGTTTCATTCTTTTTCTGAAGGTTATGAAGATGTTGCAATACAATCAATGAGCTTTTAGAAAAGAGTTAAAATCTGCGACCTATGCTTTTTGAGATGGCCAAGTTTCACAATTTTTTTAAAAATTTATAGCAAACCTCAAAAGGAGTCCAAGTAATGGATGGATGGAGCAAACCCTACAAAAACCACCACAACTTTTTTCTGCTTTTCAGAGCTCGTCGTAATTTCTGTATAGATTTTTTGATGGAACCACCGAATTTTAGCAGGCTCGTCTCAGACACAAATGCATCAAACACCAAAAAATCGTCGGATTATGAAACTTAAAAAAATGGGTTATGGTTTTACACTCACTTTACAAAGCAAATGAGCGTTTACCGCTTCAGATTAGCACTTTCGAAAATTCCGGGTACAGCCGGAGGCGCCCTGGAAAACCTGAATTATGATGATTTTATCTCGGAAAACTTGATGAATCGGAAACCAAAAACAACTGGCAAAAAGAGGAAAAAAGGTGCGTCGCATGACACCCGAGTGCTTGCCGGTTGTTGTTCTGTGAGGTTTGAGTTGACCAAATATGGAATTTGATGGCATTTCAAAACTGATTCCAGAAACTTTAAGAAGCAAGCTAAGGAAAAGAAAAAATTAATCTGTGTCCTATAGGGTTTGCTCTATCTACCTGCCACTTGTACTTCTTGCTCTATCTACCTGCCACTTGTACTTCTTCGGAGAATAGGTACAAAAATTTTAAAAAATTGCCGAACTTGATCATGGCAAAAAGCATGAGTTGCAGATTTTGTTAATTTTTCGAAAGCTCAATGAAAATTATGCAGTGAAATTACAACCATTAATAAGAGGATGAAATGTCGCATCGAATGCTTCTAAGATTTCTTGAGAATCTTGATTCCATGAAATGTGGCGTTCATTCGAAAAAAGCGACATTACTTTCGGAACGACCTAATATTTCCGGACTTTTGGGATCTCGGGTCTGCGTTCTTCAGGAAAATCAAAATTGCTCTCGATTGGCACGATGTTTGCTCAGCTGGAAAGAGAAGGTGACAAAACTCATATTCATGGGTTATGGTTTATGACCTTCACGTCTTTTTCTGTGACGTTTTTGGAAATTTTTGAGCATGCTCAAAAATTTGCTTCTAACTCTCCATGCTTTCGTTTTAATTCGTGGAAATGGCACTATAACACCGCTTGAAAAATGTCAATCTTGAGTAATTTTCTTTAATTGCTTGCAATTCTCGAACTTTTTCATGCCAATTCACGGTAGAGGCACGTAAAGAAGAATCCTCTTTTAGATGAATATATTGAGTTGATGCAAAAGTGATGGCCGATTTTCCAAGCCTTTTTTCTGGGCAACTTTTTTCCATTAATACTTCTTCTTTACAATACATATAACATACCATCGCAAAGCTGTTTTCATGCTCTATCTAAAGGTGCTTGAAACGGGCTTTCATCCTCATATGTTATAAAGTTACTGAGCTTCAAATAACCGCATCCAAATTCAGAATTTCATTGCATTCAGTTTTCCGGCCAAAATTCAAGCGCGTATCAATGGGATTTCTTCAAAAATTTAGCTGTGGTATGCAATAGAAATTGTCTAAATTATGCATACTTAATTATATTCTTTGAAGTTATCCAGACTGAGATATCGGCGCCTAAACATCAGCTGTTGCCCTCATTTTATGACGCATGATTTTCTTCTGAGGAAGTCAGTCGCCGAAGCTTTGCCCATTTCTGTAAGCATAGGGGCTGTTCAGTACGAGAAAATCAGAAAATTCTATGTTCCGGACTTTGAGGCACACTGAAAAATGTTGAAAAAACTGGGAAATTTTAAATTTCAATTTTTTTTCTTTCTTGCGAAGTCTTTTGTCCGAACTCTTTTTACTGTATTTTGTAATACTGGCTTGAGGCTACAAGATAGGCCACTTACCATTCATATTAAGAAACTTTGAAGGAAGTTATGAATACAAGGTTCTAGCAGAAGAACCTTTTTGCCTTATAATCCGTATTTCTCTTTCCGTTTATGGTTTGAGTATAAATGAGTATGCGCTGTATTGCGAAAGGTTTGCTGCTTCTGGGGATCTCGCATCCAGAAATGCAGATGTTTTAGAAAGTTATAGCACGTCAAAGTGAGAATTCGCAAATCGGCCATTACTTTTGCATCAACCTAGTAAATTCAAAGAATCCATCGAGTCGAAAAGAAGTTACGATTTTTTGAAAAATTGGCAAACGAACTTTTGCACCCACCTTATATGTTATATATAAAGCAGAAAATCTTTTTGTGCACATATTCCATAATCGAAATGATGAGCGGTGAAACGTTTTGAGATATGGTAAGGACGGTAGGAAGCGAACCGAAGACGTGTATCAACCAGCATCGGTCCGGCTCTGGTTTGCCTTCGATGACGCACTTTTGCGTGCAACGGGCTTTAGCGCATGGCCGCGCTCGCGCACGTCACACTGCACCACCGCAAGTTGTGTAGTTTTAGGAAGCCAAAAATTGTGATTTTGGCATTTGCACTTTCCGCATTTCGTTCATATCTTTTGAAAAAGTGGTTGACATACCCGGCTTCCGGTCCTGTTAATGATATATTCGCAATAAGCATGCACACTTACCCCTCTGTGCCGACTCCCAGCCTCCCAGCCCCGCAGCTCAAACTTTGCAAAAAATCGATAAAATCGATATTAATCGAAAACGAAAAGTAGCCTACGACACCCACCCTGCCAGGAAGTGTAAGTATGCAGAGTTTGGTCCAAATCGGTTCAGAAATGGAATTTCCTATTCGGAACATACATACAGACGCATTACAGAACAGTCAGGTTTTTGGTCTTTTCGCATGTTTTCCGATTATGCTAACAGGCCTTGACCGGAAAAAATTAGTTGAAATGAAAAGGAATGTTTCTTTAGATGGCGCAAATGTTCAAAGACAAGTTGTGGCAGAACATTTTCAGCTTTCAAAAACTTTTGTGTTCGTTAAACACATACGCGAATGTTTTCCAATAGAAAACTTTCGCGGAAGTATGCAACGGAAAACATCTGCATGTTGTAAAAATGCATTTCATAATTTACTGTACAGTCACAACAAGGAGCTTATGTTCACGAACACCATAGTTACGTTAGCGATTGTTTCTCATCACTGGTATTTGAACAGAAATTCTACTAGTGATTTTCATCTATAGAGTGACAAATGCAGGTGCAGAAAATGTCGCTTCTCTTCAAAAACTTCTACATCGCGAAGTCAAAAATAAAGCATTAGCTTTTCCAAACTTAGGAATTTGGTCTTTGAAGAACATTGTTGGCTCTTTGAATGTTGTAGATAACGCGTCTATAAAATGCTTCGTAACGACGACAAAAATAAGAACGCTAGGAACTGAAATAGCTCAATACGGCATACTCATTCACAAATGGCTCAATCAACGCGAACATAAGAGGATTTCAAGATTGTGTTGAATAGCACAATTACGGCCGACTTCATGTGCGGCCGATGCTCAATGGATGGAACGAAGTTTCGTCGTTTTGACTATTGTCACTTTTGCAACTGTTGTATCTAGATCGCTTTTGTCGTTGATCATTTTCCGTAAGTAATCACGAAATTCCTGTCCCGTAAGAATATATAGCACAAACTTTGATACCTAAAATATGTTACAAATAACGGAAGCCAAGAACTTGCGAAAAGAAGTACCTGGAACACAGCCGATGAATACGTAACCGCATAGTTTTGCTGAGATTTCGTTATGTCAAGATCAAGGAAATTCTTGAGAATGTAAATCTGAAATTAGTTTATGGTAAACACTATTGACACAATGAAATTTGGGCCAAAATATAGAATCATAAAAACTTAATTTTGCATATGTTACAACTTCAAACTCCTATATTTGCGTAACATTCTCTGTGCACATTTTAACGAGTGAGTCAAGCTTCTCGCAAATTCAAAGTCTTTTCACGCTAGTGCAGCTAATACTTCTGTTAGCGTTGAGAGACTAGAGTAGGGAATTTCTGGGACTCGTTTCTATCCTCGTTACTTGCAAAAAATTGGAGTGATGGGAATAGTGATGAAGAGCTCGGATTTTTTGCACATTTCATTTGAGAATAAACAGGCCGCTTGAGAATGATATAAGTGGCCTGCCTGCCTATTTTTCTTCTCCCACAATCTTTGCGTAGGTCCTTCAAAAATGCTTGAAGAATTTGACATCTTTCGCAGATGCGTTGGTTTGCCGTAGAGTCATTGAGCAAGTAACAGACCATTCTTTTCATTATCTTGTTTCTTAAGTCATGAAAAAAATCACGTTTTAGTCATATATTTTGGAGAAATCGAAGATTGAGTAAAGCTGGACCTGAATAGATGGAGCGCAAAGAGACTGAAATGCATAGGTTTAGGAGGTGTGCAGAAGGAACCAAATCCTGCAATCTATAAAACTGTAGATAATCAAAAGCGCAAGTGATGTGGAGAGATTCTGACATGGATCCAGGAAGACTTAGCAAGGATATGGTAAAAATCGTCATGAATCAGCTTGAAGAAACTTTTGCAAGGTAAGGGCACTTTTCAAATTCGAACAGAAGATACATTTAGTGCGCATAGGAGTAAATCAAAATTTAGGGTCTTTCTAGTAGAGAAAATGAAGCTCCTTTTAAAAAAATATGGTGCTTAGTTATTAAATTTTAAAGTCTTAATTTTGCGATAAGCAAGGTTCCTTTTTTCAAAGTCTATCATTTTTATCAGAATTTTGGAAGTAACTTGAGTTAATTATAAACTATAACCAAAATGTCATAGAACTACAAGTGGAGGCTTGAATAAAAACCAGTACGCAATTCAACTGTTTATAACCTTCAAAGGTTGATCTAGTTCTAACCATCAAGGCGACATTCTATACGCTTAGACAACAATATAGTGACGTCGATATTTTCGAGATTGTACATGGCTCTAGGAAAAGAATTCCTGAATGCAAGTTTTGTTTACATTCCTCGCGCAAATCATCTCCTGCGGTTACAGGCGGCAGGTTTTTCCACCTGCACTGCTTTTTTAAGTATGGGCAGCGATATAAGAAACAAGTAATTCCGCGTTTGAAACTATTCATATTATATTTCCTGCTTAGAAGGACTAGCACCACATAGTTTGATGACTGGCTCAGGGCCATGCACAACTGAAACGCGGTATATCGCTTTTGAGTTTCTACGAAGAGCTGAAAGAAATCGCAAAGGAAACGCCAAAGGGTCTTGGGTCAGAAATCCTCCTTTCATACATCTTTACCGGTTTGAACAAATCAGGACAAGGGCGCTACTCTCTCATATGCTCGCTATCTCGCACAGCAAGAGACAAATTGAGCCTCAAATAAACAAATGCCTCGTACAACGCTTGCGCTATGGCTGAAAAATTTATAAATATGCAAATGAAAGCCGTGACGACCATTTTCACAAGTTCAAGACCAGACGTTTAGAGTTCCAAATGACTAGCTGGACCCGTCTTTCTGCTCACTACTCTTCAAAAATTTTTCATGGATCTTGCGTAGTAGAATGATGAGTACTGACAAAAGCAATTCTATACTCATTGACGCTTTTTTATGGCCCTTAGGCCCCGGTCAGACTTCACGCGACTTAATCGTCGCGATCTAATCGCTAAGATTTCCATTCATTTTCATTTCACATTTAAAAATATCGGGCTGGAAAAGTATCACAACCGAATGCAAGTTGATCGGCATGGAATGATGTTGTAACAGTTGTCTCCTCGCGATTCAGTCGCGACGATCAAATCGCGTGAAGTCTGCCCGGGGCCTTAGAGAACTTTGATTGTTGGCGCAATCCTGCTCTAGCCGCTAAGGGCGTTCCTAGACACCAATGCGCGAATTCATTCTTATCTAGGTTCTGCGTTTATTATGCATCCTTTATTAAATCTCTTCATTGGTCTCAGTTGTTGGTCCCAGAGACTGAAGCTATACGTGAAGACTGTCATTATTCGAACGAGAAAGAGGAAAAAGAAGAAAATAGGAAAAGTGAGGACGAGAGAAGGAGAGAGAAGGATAAGAGGGAGCAAGGTGGCAGATGCGTAAGCTACAGGCTCCCACCATAAAACCCACTAACGCCCTAACAAAGAGTTTTGATCATTCTAAAAAAATTCTATATTGAAAAACAATTTTTGGTCTTTCACCAATTATTTTAGGGTGAGCAAAGCTTGAAAACAAAAAAAAAGAACGGGAAGTAATGAGAGGCTTCAGAGAATATTAGATTGAAATCGTAAGAATTGTGCAATCAGAATTTCGATCTTATCCTGAGAACTCCTTGATTTCAACACATTTCATTTGTTGCAGCTGTTATATTGGGTGTTCTAACTTGTTCGCAGATTATTCACGGCTTAAAATCCTTACTACTTGAAACTTAAATGTCCTAAATCATCTTGTATGATTCCGATTGACCAGAACTGTATGTTTTAACAATTGACAATGAAGCATCTGATTAATCCTGCCAATGAAGCATCTGGTCAATCCTCATTTTCGAGGAAGCTGCAGTTATTATTTGCTTATACCATTACATCAACATAACTCTATTAAGTAGCACGTATACATGGACGTGCTAGATACATGAGACTCAAAATTGAAGGTTACAGCATACGCTTCTCAAGACAATGAGCAAGTCTATATGTTACGACTTTGACAATCGCTCTTGAACATCTGCAAATTGCAAAAGTGGCTTGTCACCGGAAAAAAATAGGAAAGCTTTGTCGAACGCTTTTCTACAATAAGCAGTCTAACCTCAGTCGAAATAAAATCTGCTGATATAATGAACTTACGATGTTGCTTGAAGATCTGACTATACATGAAATGAAGTTCACTACAAGAATCGGTTTGATTGATGTAATTTCCTTTGACTGTGCTTGTCTTGTCAAACGTCTAGCAACAATGTATGCGAATCCAGAGCCAAGGAAACCTCCAAACTAAAGAAAATTGTTACGAAACCATCCAAAGATGGAAACAAATTTGAAATAAAGATTTAATACGTGTCACATTGCCCACATGCAGCGTGCTCTTACAAAAGATGTGATGTAACTTAAAATCGCATTTCGAGATGAGGCACATATATTTTAATCAGCTTCGAACGATGATACCAAATATGCTATTCCTAGCTGCGGCGCATTTTCTTGAAGAGAATTGCTGACTTTTTTATGCGCGGAAACTGCGAGCTCATTTCATCTATCGGGATTACTGTAATAACACTTGAGTGTTGACACGCCGTGTTAAGTTCTTTGTTGACGACAACGAATTTGATCTATTCTTATTTTGATGGTGCAGCACTGTTTTGGAGAGTAACAAATATATAAACTTGCTAAACGTATGCTTTTTAGTTTTTAATTCGTAATTTTTCTCTCCATTTGTAAAGGATACTAAGCAGGTTTTCCTAGATCAAGAGTAAATGTGCGATTTAACATCCACAAAATCGATGTACATTAATTGGGAGTGACGAACCTGACAGGAAAGATTGAAGAATTGATGAAATTGTGCAAATCCCTCTGTGACACTGAAAATAATGGCTTTTCTTGGACAATCAAATCAAGAGTGTACTCACCTTCCAGAAACCCCACAATACTTATCATCTTGCACCTCTGTGCGACTGTCAAGATATGAAGTGAGGAACATGGTTAGTAAAGAGATTAAACAAATAAGTAAACACAGTGCAGCTGTCGTAAATCGAGCTGTGGGTGTTGCATAAAGTCTGCAGAACGGTGCAACATATCAGAAAATATGATTCTACATGTCATTATCCTACCGATATCTTACGGTAAATAAAACTGCGAATATTTTTTCACACGCCATAGCGAGCATAGACAACGAAACAAGTTCTGTGCCATAAATACGAAATACCATATTACCTCTCTTTGCACATCTCCAGAGTGATGTCCCTTAAACTATGCCCTAAGTTTGTATCATTATCTTGAAGTAAAGCTACCTCCAATAAATGTACCAGTGGCCATTTCACCAATTCGTATTATACTAGGATAAATAAGATACGTGCCGTCCAACATATCACCTATACTAACCAATGTATAGAATATATAGCGGGTTCGCATTGTCGATCGAGAATTCAGAAACACTAAATGAATCTTAGAGAATTGCAGTAGTCAAATTGTTTGCGAAGCTCCCACCAAGAAGAAGAAAATTAGTCATGACTATCAGGCATCCCATAAAGATGCGATTTTGTTCCTCTACTACAGTTGTAGGGTTGGGACGAGCAATTAGTTGGGATTGCAAATACGATGATAAAGAGAAGACAGCATCTGTAAAATGCATCGCTGGTTAATAATCATGTCTGCACTTTGAAAAATTTTTTATTGTGAAGGTTATAACCACAAGTCAACAAGCAATGCTATTTAACATACTACTTATGGTTTGGTTATGGCTGCTTCTTGAGGATCCCCGTAAGCCTTCAGAAGTGATAAGAAAAATTAGATTTGCTTCTTGGTTTTGTTTCGTGCACAACCAAATAATTTTGAGTGAATTTCACTATATTTGTGTCCATTCCTGTCTGATTAAGGTAAAGCTTGTGAATTGTTCAAAGCATTTCTGTGAGTAGAACACAAGTTGGTTACTTGCATACCACAAAAAAGTTCAACTTATCCTTTGATCACATCATCAAAGTAAACTAATAATTTGGGATGGGAACGTTTTGAAGTTTAAAGTGACGAAAAATTCAAAATAATTGGAAATGAAAGCTGCGCTCTCTACATAACATTTAGGCCTTCCAGACTTTATTCATGAATGTTTTTCGAGGAAAAACTGAGATTATTGATGTCACCTAATTTCTCTGATATGTTGCAGTACACCTTCGATACCAGTTATTGAGATTTACCAACTCATGTCCCGGTCTATATGATTATCGCAACTCAATGCTTAATCAACTTGCAAGTAATGAGTCGCAAGTGATTCAATCTACAAAGTCATTTTTTGTTTCAAACATCAACGGTATTCGCGAAATTTCCAACTATTAGGTTATGAACACTTCTTGCAACAAAAAATAGCAAAAAATTAGTTTAAAAATGCTTAAACAGACTAATCAATTCACAGAATATGCTTATTTTATGTACAACAAAGGTAATATTTTATAGCACATTTTAGAAAATCAAAATGAAACAAAATCAACAAGTCAACTTTTAAAACAGTCGAAATCCGTAACTATTCGCAGAGACATCCAATCACTACTATCAGCTTCCTTTTGATGAAAAGAAAATTTTACAAGATAATATCTAAATTGAGTTTAAATTTCAGCAGACGTCTTAGTAATTTCACCAAACCAAAAAAACACTATTAGGGTATTTCTCTAAATCAATTATACCTTCGAAGAATTTTGACACGAGCATCTTCAGAAAGCGTAATTTGCTCTCTATTATATTTCAAACCAGAAGATTTCACTGAAGCTGGGTGATGTAACAAAATTCCAAACATTTTGGTGCAAAAATTAAGCATCAACCTATTAGATATAAAAACCACTTATACGCTTTTCATCTACTTCTTTGGCATAGCCTTGTTGTCTTGCCAATTTGCCTAACCTCGCAACGGCATTCTCCATAGTTAAGAAATTAAGAACTTGTGTTCAAATTCTAAAGTTTCAATAGGCGCAGTAGTACGGCTGCATCAAAAATATTGTATTAAAAATGAAATCTAAATATACGCAGCACAGAAGAAGACTAAGCACACTTCACTAATTCACCTTCAATCTCATTGTTGGAACTGTTGCACTGATGGAAAGTAGAATTTAACCAGGAGTAGTACTTGAGTTTGATACATTCGCTTGCGAAAGGGGTATCCATTGATCTGTAATAATTGTAGAAGAAGGTATGACTATTAGCAACGTAAAGAACCAGAACCGAGCTACAACTGAGAAACGCTAAGTGGTGAGGAATTTAGAAGGATTTTGGAAAAACTCATTTTCTTCTCATATACAAAAGTTGGCTAATGTATTCCAGAGCAGAAACTATGACAACGGCTGAAATTAAGGCTAATAATCTATTCCAGATGTAATACATGAATTGTTTTCTTGCTTATAGTCCTACATCCTGCTTGGGAATAGGTAGTCACTGGAAGCTTGTAAGTGAAAGCGTTGGACATTTAATGTACAAGCTTAGAAAATTATGAAGGGTAGCATATAACAGTTTCAGTATAAATAATTATTATGACAATACTAAATGTTGAAGGCGGGGCCGCAAATACCATTGGTCACCTTCTCGCTTGCTCCTGCTAAACTTTCGAGACAAAAGGCAGTAACTCTTGGAAGAAATCTGGAAATAAGTGCAAACAATCACTAATTAAAATACTCCTTACAGTCAAGCAGTGTGAAATGCTGTAAAAAATTAAAGACGAATGGTATGTTTCGACAGATAATCAATAGGTTCGCTCTATAAAATCTAATGGATAGACTACAGGTAGAGAGAATCCCGTAAAAATATTATAATACACACAAATTCATCAGTTTTTTTCGTTTGAATTTATTCTGATTTTTTTCTTTTAACACATTCACGACAAGGCCGATTCTAGATTGCTTTTATCAAACTTGGACCCATCCGTGGGTCATATTGTTCGGAATGGTAGTCTTTTTAGAAAAAGCACAAACATGTCTGCGAGAATTTTTTGAGAGCGGTAATCGAAGGCGCAGATTATCAAAAATGATTTATTTCAATTTTTGGCACTATCGGTAAGGTTACGGTGGTCATTTTTATGAAAGAAACATCATGGATCTTCATGGCCGTGGGGCTATGGCAGCAGTAGGGTAGAATTTTCGCAAAAGCTAAGAAGCTGATGTAAGAAGATGGTATTAGAACACGAGACTATCATTTTCGTAATCAGATGTTACAAAACCTATAAATGTAAGATACGAGCTTTCTGGGGCAAACAATGCAAAAAATCAATAAAATCAATAAAATTGATATTTTTAGCAAGCTAGCGTCAGTCTCTGCCCGCCCCATATTACTCTACGTGTGCACTTGATTTTCCAGAAACATCATAAATCTGCGAAGAATGAGCTAAAGTCTGTGTCTTATATCTATCTACGGTATACCCACCGTAACATTACATTACAGTCCCGAGCAAGGACCAATCTGGCTGAAGCTTTGCCTAGATGTCCCTAATCATAAACTGCCAAAGGACAAAATGTGGTATACCTACCTTATACCTGTCCCTACCTACCTACCTAATCCTGTGTTATACCTGTCCCTACCTACCTACCTAATCACGTGTCAATACCCCGTAGAACTCCATCGTAAGCTGGCAATCTAGAGCTTCAGGAATCTTACGACACACCGGTGGGCCGTATTGTCATGATGTGTTAAATGTTTGGAAGATTCAAAATTGGAGCAGCGATGTTGAATTCCATGCAAAAGTACGGGGAATCTGCGTTGGTGGAAACACTTATTTTCTTCTCTCATGATTAGCAGTCCTTTTCTCTTCTTTTTTTGAGCGCAAATTTCATTTTGCGTTGCCTATTGCAATTTTTGCGTAATTATAAAAGCCTTTTTCAGTTCAAATCAAAAAGCTATATGGAACATGTGCTTGAAAATGGGTGTAAGCTCTTACATAAACTTCAGTGCTGATAGTTCGGCTCCAGAATATTAAAAATTTATCAAATCAAGTCTTCGAATATCGGTTCGATTTACATACGCTTTACGAGTACATGGTAGGGTTTGGCACATAAAATCTCACTTTTTATCGTTCCACAGCCTCTGTTGCAAACTGATGCTAGTGCAATAGGTCATCAAAAATCTGCAATCTAATTTTCTTCTTCTGAAAGAAGCTAATTTGGAAGTAAAAGTACTTTTGCTGTACTTGCTTATTCGAGGCAGTGCGCCATTCATAGATTACTGTCGTTAATCATGGACACTTATTTTGTACTCAAATTACCTAATCCGATTCAATACGATTTTGCTCAATCTCATGCGCAAAGCAACAAATTATGATTATCTTTGTTTATGATAGACGCATTGACTGAGTTCCACACCATCATCAAAATAATAGGAGTAGAACAAAGGTCTAAAGAAGAGAAAGAAGAGGCTAAAGTCTCATAAAATCCATCCAAATAAGCCGAATTCGTTGAAAATTTAACGTTTAAATAAAGTCATATTAGCACTCATACACTTCCTCATGAAGAAAATAGTTTTTGAAGTGATACAATCATAATGGGATAAAAATTTCTTTAGCCAAGTTACGTGAAGGGTTTTGGAGTGGGTTTTGAAAAAAAAAAACGTCATTAGCATGATGTTGTAAGACTGCACAAGTCCAGCTGAACTTTGCTACCATAAAAATCATTACGCAAAAATCCGATTTGCGCAGATTGCCCTCATTCATTGCAGATATACGGACAAACCGCTGATTGCTGCCATGTAATGGCGAGACACGCTATTAAGGGTTCATTGTGCAAGTAAAACTATCAACTTGTAGAGGATTTGAAATACATAATGAGAAAAAACAACCAGTGTCAAAATTTGAGCTGATTATGAAGTAGGAACCATATGTTAGACAATGGAGGTACATCGTTGTCGGTTTGATCCGTAAACATATTCACGATTTCACGAATACAAGGCCCAATTGTTTTTTTTATCCAGTGCACCCTTACCTTGTTTAACCTACCTTGAAATCACAAAAAAGACAAA